ATTTAAATTAGCAGAGCAGTTTCCTATTTAGTAACTCTGAATATACTAAGATTTATATTGAACAATGTAAATTTATATTTGCCAATTCTATGGCAATTCATTCCTTGATCTATCTTTAGAACTTTTAATCGCTAACTTTAAAATCACTAATATTTGAAAACATATACTAAAATTATCTAATTTAAACTGAGAGAGGGGGTAATATTTTAATTGATTCAGTATAATTAAAGTGCTAGATGCAATCCCTAGAGGATTTTTATTTTTCAAATCAATATTTTTAAGAGACTTCAACAGAGATATTTCAGTCCAAATTTGGTGAGCTATTACCTACTCCATTTGGAATAAACAATATCCAATAATTATAAATAAATCAGAGTTTTTTTAGTAATTGCTATAGTAGGACATATGGTGGTGTATTCAAAATTGTAAATTCAACTCTGAGTGATTTAGGCTCAATTTTCTAATTTAATCAAGCATAATATGGTGGCTCTATCAATTGCTAAAGTTGTAAGGCTAAATTTAATAAAACTACATTCACTAAGAATATGGCGTTAAATGGGGGAAGCATCTAAGGTAATGGTGTTTTGAATATTGAATTTACTGAAAATTAAATTCAAAGTTCTTTTGCTTTCATCAATGGAGGTTTTATAAATATATAAGGATAATAATAAGGGATTATAGATAATATGTAATAAAGATAATTAATGAACATCTCAAAAAATTCAATTCAATTTAATACTTAAAATGTAACTATAAAAAATATCTAGTAGAGTAATAGGAATCTACATTATTTTGCAGAAGCACTTAAAATTACAAAAAATAATTAAATAAATCAATCTTATGCAAAAGACTTTGGAGGTGCCATCTATATCGATTCATTTGGTTTAGAAATCTCCATCGATAATTTAGTCCAAAATAGGTCATCATCTTTCTACATGAAGGGTGGTGTCATTCATCTTGAGAATGCCAAATCATTAAATATAAATAATTCTGATTTTTCTGAATTTCAAAGCCCAAATGGTTCTTGTATATCAAGCGTGGGTTACAATACTCAAATTATTATATCTAATTCAAAATTCCAAGAGAAAAAGTTATATATTTTTCCAGATTCTAGTGAACTACTTAACATTTCATCCCCGAATACTTTTGGAATAATTTATATTACTGACGCTGCTTTTGTGAAGCTCTTTAGAAATGTATTTTAGAATAATTACTCTAAAAAATATGGAGGAGTTACCTATATTAATAAATCTATATTTTAGGATATTGATTCTATTTACACAAAAAATATTGCTTATCGGGGTGGAGCAATTTACTTAAAAAAAACTAACTCTATCAATTTAAAAAATGTAACTATTGAATATAGTACAGCGACAGATTCTGGGGCAGCAATATATATTGATACTGTATATGGTAATACTAGTTTAAGTAACATAACTATCAGGTATATCAGAGCAAGTCGATTTGGTGCAATATTTTACTAAAGTTTATACAATGAATATCCAAAGTTTTTACTTTATTATTTCTAAATAGAAGGAATGAATGTCTTCAATATCTAATCTCAATCGCTAGTTTACTATATTTCAATAATTAATTTGGAGTAATAATATCTAGAGACCTATATTTAAATTTTACAAGTGCATTTGAGTTAAATGGGATTTAAATTGAAAATGCTTATATGGTGGAATTTTATAATACATAAAGTTATAATATGAGAGAAACCTATCAGTAATCAAGTTTTTTCTATATTTATAATGTTATAGAATCTGCATATTTAAAGTAAACATATATATAATGTTTTCCTTAGAATACTTAAATAGATTTTGATATATATACAGGCCAACTTACAAATGTTAATTTAAGTGATTACAATTAAATCTATGAAGGAAGTATATTTATTCCATCACTTTTTAAAATGAGCTAAGTTTTACAATTTTATTCTGAGAATCTTACTGTAAATAATTGTGCATTAAATTCTGGCAGTTAAGTTTTTCTTATATAAAATAGTGGAAGCAATTATGTCAATCTAATTTTGAATAACACCTTTATTGAAAAAATTGATATGTAAAATTTTTTATAAGGAGGGACAGCCAATCATATTTATTCATGGAATTTGCTGGTTTAAGATAACTTTAAATATAGATTTTCATTATTTCATTCCTATAACTCATTTTAATATCATTAAAATATAATTGTAAAAAGATTTCTTGGCTAGATATATTATTCTGAATCATTTGCAAGAAACGATTTGGTTATTTTAGTCATAAAAAATGGAATATTTGAAGATATTTAAGCTCAGAAAATTCGGGATCAATATTATGGATTAATTTATTCTTATTCAGACTTACATTAATTACATTTGGATGATATATATTTAAGAAATATTGATGCCCCAATCTTACTACTTAATGGATTGGCATCTTATTCTGGAAAAGTCAATAACATTTTTGTTAGAGATTTATATATGACAGAATTTTACAATCCTAATAAATCAAATTTATTTTACATAACTCACCCATTTGTAAATTTAACATTGATCAATACTACAATTTAATGCACTGAAAATAATTAAGATTAAGAATATTTTTCTGCAACCTAAGATATAGGAGTTATTTATATCAAGGATTCTTTCTATGGAGTTTATAGTTATAAGTCTAACTTTAAGCAATGCAAAAACTCAGAAAAAGGTTCATTTTTTAATATTATTAGATCTACATATATTGATTAAGATTCTACATTTGAAGATAATCTTTCTCCTTTTGGCGGAGTTATAGCATGTGATTCATGTATCCTAAGAATGAATAGGACAATTTTCAAAAATATCAAAGCAGTATAAGGAGGATGTATTTTTGCAGATTAAACAGTTTAAATTACATTAGATAGCATTTAAATTTCAAATATTAAAGCTTTAGAGGAAGGAGGATTTATATATTTAAAAATAGCTAATTCATAAACATCTGCTCTATCTTTGTTCAAAATGACTAATACATTACAGATAGAGCAAGTTTCGTCAAAAGCAGGAGGTTTTCTGGCATCTATAAATCCAAACCTTTAAATATTCTTAAAGAACATAAGTCTTAAATCAAGTAATTCTTCACAAATTGGAGGCTTTATTAGCCTATAAAAAGGATAGAAGCTTGAAATTGAAGAATCAAATTTTTATAATTTCAAATCTCCATCAGGTGCTTTCATATACTCTGACTCTTTAGAGCTAATTTTAAATATTCAAAGGTCTAGCTTCATTTGCGATTCCTATTCAAATTATAAAAATAAGTCCTTTCAACTTACTGATGAAAATTATTAAAGTTAAACCGACACATAATTCTAAATTTAAAATGCAATAGAAATAAATTCATTTTAAAACTAATTCAAGTATTGCGGAACTAGTTCCTCTGGTGGAGTATTCACTTTGAGAAAGACAAAATTTACAGACTAACAATCAAATTTCTAATATAATTCTGGATATAATGGTGGAGTTTTAAGTAGTTAAGAAACAAAGAGTGTTTTTATATCTTCAAAATTTAGTTTTAATTAAGGAAGGATTGGAGGAGTATTTTTTATTACCTAAAACTCAAATATATTTGTTCAAAACTGCTAATTTTTAAATAATTATGCTTCTTAAACTGGAGGTGTAATTGTTTTGTATACTCTTTCTAGTATGTAGATAGCCGATTCTGATTTTATTAGTAATACTGCTGTTGACAATTCAGTGTTAGAAATACTTGGAGCTGATTAAACTACTAATATTACTATTGAAAAATCAATATTTTAGGAAAATTATGCTTTAAGAAATACAATATTCTTGATGTATGCTAACTTACTTATCTAGGATACATAATTTAAGAATAACTATGCATAGGAAAGAACTAAAGGAATTTTCTGTGCTTTTGCCAATATTTTTATTAATAGTTGCGAATTTTATAATTCGTTGTAAAGTTAATGGGAGACTTAACTACTGGTTGAATAAACTACAGGTGCCTTTATTTTCATGATATTCAATGTGAATATTTAAATAAAAGGTACTTAGTTTAAAAATGGAATGTCTAGTCAAGGAGGAGCTCTTTATATTGCAGGTGAAAGTGAAGTAGATATATAGTAATCGTTATTTTAAAATAATAAAGCAAGATTTAAGGGAGGTGCCATATTTTCTGAAGGCTTTAAAAGTATTTATGTTGGAAATTAGACGATTTTTAAGGACAACTTTGCTGTTGATTAAGGAGATGATATTTATCTTACAGGATCTCTAAATCTCATTTCTATAGACAACGTAAAAGTGACTAATATTGATGCGAAGAATTCTATTTTTATTGAGCAGGCAAAATTATCATCAAATTAGCTTCAAATTAAAAATATTTATCGAAAAAGGGATTCAGAAAGAGGTTCAGGAATATATTGCCAATATTGCAATGGACTTTAAATTATCAATTCATCCTTCCTAGATTTAAGGTCAAAATATGGCGGAGCTATTTACATAATTGAGCAAGATATAGCTAAAAGTTTAAGCTATGATGAAAATTCCTTTAAATTTTAGATAGAAAATTCATATTTTAGCAACTGCTCAGCTGAACAAGGTGGTGCGTTAATGCTTGATAATATTGAATCAATCATCATTAAAAATACTTAATTTATTGGTAATTAAGCAAAATCTATTACTTAATATCAATCTCATGCAGTAGATCCAGCTACTGGTGGAGCCATTTATTATTCATGTAATGAAGAAATTTTAAATTGCAGACTCAAATTTGAAGGTATAAATAATTTTAAATTGAATTATGCTTAAGTAAAAGGGGGAGCTATTTATTGGAGTAGTCTCGAACCTGAATATAATGATATTAATCTTAATTTCATTAATAACACTGGCTTCTTATATGGTGATAATTTTGCATGCTATGCTTAAAATTTGGTATCATTAACAGCTAAATAGTACGAGTTTTAGACACAAAAATTAGGTATACTTGATAATTACAATTCTAGATTATTAGAACAATTATCAAAAGAGAATATTTTATTTAACTAATCGATAGAAAATTAAAGGAGTGGTGGTTCAGTACCTATCTTATTCATAGCATTAATAGATAAATACGGACAAATACTAGGATCTGATAGTACTAGTAAAGTCAGAATATCACTTGAATCAAGCAAAATATTTTAAAATTCTACATTATTTCCTCCAATTTTAGAGGGGAGTAGTGATTTTCAAGTAGAAGGAGGAATTGCAGTTATTTAAGATGTAATTATAGCTGGAACTCCAGGCAGCACTTATAATATAAAATTTTCCACTGATGGAATAGATGTTAACAAAATATCTAACAAATAAGCGATTAAGAAACTTAATTAATTAGATCTTGATTTTAATCTTAGCATTGACCTCAGAGAATGCTTCGAAGGAGAGTAATTTACATCAGCAGGAAAATGTATTGAATGCTAGGATAACACATTTTCATTAGTAAAAATGAAATAGCCAGGCTCTTGTGAAATATGTCCCCCCGATAAAGCCATTTGTATAAGTGGAGCTAATATTGGCCCATTACCAGGGTATTGGAGGAAAAGTAATAGTACTAAATAGATAGAAAAATGTCTTTATTAACCCGCATGCTTAGGAATGATACCTCCAAATAATAATAGCACAGGAGAGTGCTTCAAAGGCTACCAAGGCATACTTTGTGCAGATTGTGAAAATGATTATTCAAGAGATTATGGTTTTTAATGTAAAAAATGTCCTGAAAATTGGGCTAATTCACTAAGGTTATGTGCAATTATTATTGGAGTAATTTTATTGATAGTATTTATGGTGAGATCTACCCTCAATGGTGCTAAGGATACAAATAATGTAATTAGCATTTATATGAAAATTCTTCTTAATCATTTCTAGCTATTGCTTATGACATCTTCAATTGATTTTCCTTGGTCTGAGCAGATTCTTGGTTTCTTTGGAACCGCTAACTAGGTTGGGGAAGTTTCTTCATAAATATTCAGTTTTGACTGCTTTCTATTTACTAGCAATAATTAAAATCAATAAAGTGCAGAATAAAAGAGGGTATTTTTTACCAAACTAATCATAAATGCAGTCTTTCCATTAGTTTTAGCTTGCCTTTGCATAATATTTTGGGCGATTTATAATAAATTTAGAAAAAATAGATATTAAATTGATAATAAGTCAACTTCTAGTCTTGTTATTTTACTTTTTCTATCCCACCCAAGCATTGTTAAATATTCATTCTACGATTTTAAATGTAAAGAGGTTAATGGAGAAACACGCTTGCTTAATGATCTGGAAATAATTTGTTGGGATAGTACTCATTCATTTTATAGCTATTTTGTTGCTCTCCCCAGTATTTTAATTTGGGGTATAGGGATACCATTTTTTGCTCTTGTAATTTTATTTAAAGTTAGACATGATCTTGAAAGATTGAGAATTAAAGAAAGGTTTGGCTTTTTATATAGAGGATTTAAAATTGATTTCTTCTTCTGGGAAATAGTAATTATGTATAGAAAAATTATCATTATTTTTGTTTCAGTATTTATTGGAAGTTATGGAACAATTGCACAAGGTCTTATTTTGCTCATTATTTTAGTATGCTTCTTGCATTTTAATATAAAATATTAACCGTTTAACACAAAATTATTAAATGATTTGGAGAATCTTTCTTTAACAACTCTAATGATCACAATATATTGTGGGGTTTTTTTTATATTGGACAAACCATAAAACTGGATCTAAAGTAATCCTGAGTATGCTAATAGTTCAGTATCACTTTCATAATTAATTAAAAATTCTTTTTTTGCATTAATACTGATTTCAAACTTAATATTTTTCATTTTTTGGATAATTTAAATGATTGCAGATATTAAATAAAAGATTATAGCAAAATTCTAAAT